ATATCTTTTAAGTTTATCCACTTTGTGTTGAATGGTAGAATATCATCATTTTTTTCCCAGAGGTTTCTGCCTTTAGGCATGTGTGCTCACCAGAGAGAGAGACAGAGATAGTGAAAGGGAAGGTGAGAAAGCACTCCCTCGAGGAGATGGCCACACTGCAATCCCTTCTCCTCCATTCTACTTTGGGGATCTTGGCATGCATGCACATGCACCTGGTGTGAGTTTTAAGCCACCGGTTCCAGGACTCAAACTATGATCAGTCATGTGAGAGTCCAGCAACATAACCACTTTGCTATCTGCTAGCCTGACATAATTATTCTTTATGGTCAAGTAGTATTCCTTTGTGTATATGTGCCACATTTTCTTCTTCTTTTTTCCAGAGAGATTTTTGCTATAGGCTATGTGGGCTTGCCAAAGAGACAGAGAGAGACAGAGAAACAAAAGTGAGAAATCACTCCCTGGGGGGATGGTCACACCTCAATCCCTAGTCCTCCATTCTCCTCTCTGGATTTTGGGCACACTCACACATGTGCCTGGAATGAGGTTTAAGCCACCGGGTTTGGGACTGGAACCATGGTCGACTATGCAGGAGTCCAGTAATGAAACCATTATGCATCTGCTGGTCCCATGGCACATCTTCTTAATCCCTTCATTGGTTATTGGGCACCTAGGTAAATTTCATATTTTAGCTGTTATGAATAATGTTGCAATAAATGTGAATGTGCAGATAGCTCTTTAACAAAGTGAATTTCTATGCTTTTGGTAAATACCCAAGAACAGGATTACTGGGTCATATGGTAGCTCTATATTTGGGTTTTTGAGGAACCTCTGTATTGTTTTCCACAGTGGCTTTACTAATTTTCATTTCTACCAGCAGTGCACAAGGAGTCCATTTTATCCACAACCTCACCAGCACTTCTTTTTCTTAATTTTTTTTGATCATAGTTATTTTTAATATTTTTTGATCATAGTTATTCTGACTGGGGTTAGGTGAATTCTCATTGTGGTTTTGATTTGCATTTCCAACATTTTTCATATGCTTTTTTAGCTATTTGTATGTCTTCCTTTGAGAATTGTCTAATCAGGTAGATGTCCATTTTTTAAATGGATTATTTGGTGTTTGGGGGGGGAGGTGAGCTATTTGAGTTCCTTAAATATTCTGGTTGTCAATCCTTTGTTCTAAGTAGAGTTTGTACATATTTTCATCTATTCTGTAGGTTGTCTTTTTTACCATATTTGTCATTTACTTTGCTGTGCAGAAACTTTTTAGCTTGAGATAATCTCACTAGAAACATTTTATTTTAAAAATAAAACATTAGGGCCAGCCTAGAGCATGACCATTGGATCCCACATGGCTGGGATAGCAATGTTGATAGCATGTTTCAAGTCCTTGAAATTCTGAAAGGAGAGAAAAACAGAGGAGAAGGGATTACAGCATGGCCATCTCTCAGATAAGTGCTCATGCCCTCTGGAGAAAAAAATAGAAAGAAAGGAAGAAAGAAAGAAAAAGAAAAATTAAAAGAAAAAACCAGTATTGGATTGCGAGCTATATAATAAAGGAACTGTAAAAAGTTCATAGAAAAATGGAATTGAAATATTTATTTATGGGGCCGGCAGGTGGCATGATAGTTAATGCACTTGATTCCCACATGACCAACCATGGTTCGAGTCCTGGATCTAGTGGATTGAAAATAATGCTGGGTACATGTGTGTGAGTACCCCAAAATCCTAGGAGAAAAATGGAAAAGAGATTGTAGCATGGCCACCCTACCCTGGGTATTGGGGGAGGGGTGATTTCTCACTTTTCCTCTCTCTGCCTCTCTCAGGCAAGTACACATGCCCTATGGCAAAAACCTGGGGAAAAAATTACACTTATGGGCCATATCCATAGCCTAGTAGTTAAGGGAGCTGTATCCCATACGGCTTACCGAAGTTCAAATCTTAGCCCCTGACGCTTGAAAAACATGCCAGGCATATATGCACGTACATCCCAAATCTCGACTGGATGGAGAAATGAAGGAGATGGGATTGCAGTATGATCATGCCCCCTTAAAGGGTGCTTTCTCCCTTTCTCTCTCTTTCTCTCTGGTGAACACACACACCTTCTGGAAATTAAAAGAAGAGTGGTAAAGATATAGAAGATTTGAACAGCATTATAAAAAATTAAACCGAGTAAAAAAAAAAAAACTACATACTATGGATGCCAAATACACATTATTTTGTGTATACATGGAATATTTATCAAGAAAGGCCAAGTATACGTGGAATATTTATCAAGAAAGGCCAAGTTGGGCTACTAAAAGTCTAAAAATTTTTAACCTACTTTAAAACATTTTTTATTTAACTTTATTATTATTAATTTCCAGTTCTATCAGACAGAGAGAGAGAGGGAAAGTGAGAAAGCAAACCACCAGATCCAGGACTTGAACCTGGTCAGCCATGTGGGAGTCCAAAGCCTTAACCACCATGCCACCTGCCAGCCCCTAAAAGTCTAATATTTTAAGGATTAAAATCATATAGAATATTTTATCACCACAATGAAATTTTGCTAGATACCAATAATAGGATACCTAGGAAATCCCAATGACGATAATTATTTTTTTAAGAGAGATTTTTGGTATAGGGCGCTTGTGCTTGCCAGAGAGACAGAAAGCGAGAAATCACCCACTCCAGGGGGAGTGGCCACATTGCAATCCTTCTCCTCCATTCTCCTCTTGGGATTTTGGGCATGCACACACACGCACATGGTATGAGTTTAAGCTGTCAGGTCCAGAATGCGAACCACAGTTGACTATGTGGGAGTCCAGCAATCTATTATGCTATCTGCTGGTCCTTCCCAATGATTTATATTTTAAAATGAGAATAGAAATAAAATATATTTCAATATGGAATTTCATTTTACAGTAAATTTGCTCAGAATATATTTCTGTGGACTGGGAAATATTTATAAACCAGTGAAACCATTAATATGTAAAAGTCACCTTTCAAATAGAACACTGGAGGGCACTACTATCTAACTTCCAGTGGAAAAGCTTCATGTGTGGAAAATTTAGGACACATTAGCTGTGGGACAGACCTGCTATCTTATTGAGTTTTTCTTTTATTCTTTTTGGGTGGTGGTGGTGGGGGGGGTTTGCTAAAGGGCACGTGTGCTCGCCAGAAAGACAGAGACAGAAAGCGAGAAATCACTTCCTGGGGAGATGGCCATGCCACAATCCCTTCCTCTCCATTCTTCTCTCAGGATCTTGGGCACGCACGCACACATGCCCGGC